CTTCTCACCTCCATCCTTGCTAGATCTCCTTCCTGTACAGGTACGCATGTATGTGAGCCTAACACAACTGGCCACATACACTACGCCACACTATAACTGGAGGCCAAGCTATGATCACCTTTCTTATGCACAGATATAATCAGGACTACTTTCCATACTTTTGGGACTTTTCCACTCAAAAGTGATACTGTGCATTGTATATATGTGTTAATGGACATGCAAGTTGATCAGCTGCCTCTTTCAAAATTCTTGCTTGTGTACCGTCTGGCCCCATTGTTTTATTTGGGTTTAAACTCCATAACATCCTTTTCACTTGCTGTTCTGTCACTTCAATATTATATATACTACAGTTTGAAACAGGACCCTTATACTGGAATGGTTCAATAATTATCACCCACGAAAAACATTTTTGCAAAATCATTAAAATAAAAAAATCTTCATCCTCGTCTACGTTAAAGACCGACTTAAAATAGTCATTTAATATTCATTAGTTTCCTTATCAGATTCTGTGCATTTTGAATTGTTTGTCTGTAATTGTAACACGGGCACTCTTGATTTGTTTTTACTGTTTATATATTTATAAAATGATTTAAGATTTCTCTTTAAACTCTTCTAAAGTTTCTTTTGACTCATTTAATGTCTTTTGCTGCTTGATTTATGTTTTAATATATTCCTTAAAACTATGATCATTCTTATTTGCCAAGTATCTTTTCCATGCACACGCCTTGTTTTTAACTGCTTTGTCAGCCACTTTGTTCCACCACATTGGTTTGTTCTTATTATCATAATTCAAACACTTTTTAGGTATATATTGATTTATAACATTCAATGCACTATTATTTAAAATCTTCCACTTTTCATCAATGAGGTTTATATTTAAATCATACATTTCAGTCCAATCATAAGTCCCTAAAGCGTTCCTGAGCTCTTGACATCTTCCTTTTTTGAAATCATAACTGAATCTCGGGGTGATTTCTGTATGTTTAACTCTCACAACATATTCCCATATCATTACAGCATGGTCATTTCCACCTAGTGGCTCCTGATAGTCAATATTTAATACTTCAACATATACATCCACAATAAGTAGATCTAGTAAACTGGGTTCATTTTCACATCATTTCCTCGTGGGAGTATCAATGATCTGTTTCAATAGTAAGTCCCTTAACAGATCCCAAAATATTCTCGAAAAAGAGTTTTCACTATCATTAACACAATGAGTGTTCCAGTTAATTTTGGGTAATTTAAAATCACATAATATTACGTTTCCTCGTGCAAGGTTAGTTGCTCTTCTTATCATTTGTACTAGTTTATCGTTCATTCCTGCTCCCCGACTATCCTTTCTGTAAATAACTCCAGCCAGAATTTTAACGTCCTCACTTTAATCCAGCACCATAATGCATCCTTCACTCCTCTGTTTATAAAGTTCTTCACATTCTTCCAGTTGTAGCTTATTTTTTAAAATATATGACTACTCACTTCTTTTTTCCTGAGCATTTATGTAAGTTTTACACATATATCGTGGAATTCTATAATTTAGTGGTGATTCACAGTCTTGTATCTAAGTTTTAGATACACAAATTATATCTTGGTTTGTATTACCTACTCTAACCTTCAGCTCATCACATTTACTTACTTACGATTCTGCATTCGTGTACAGTACATACATTTCAAGTTTTCCCTCTATGAAGCTAGGTTTATTTACGTTTAATCTCAAATCTGAGTTAGAATTAAAGTTTTGCTCATTTGTACTTTGCATACACCTCTGAAAACTTTCACTTCTGTGACTATTTACATTATCTTCACACTGACATTTCCTTGCTCCTCTAACATTGTTCATGAAATGTTTGGCTTCCCCCTTCCCTCTTTAATGAAAATTAATTTATATCCTATTAAGGAAGACAATTGATGAATGAAAACTTCATACGATCAAGCAATGGAAAGTAATAGGGGGAATAAAACAAAACATTAATTTATAAGAATTAAGCATTTTTTAAAGCATATTACATTGCATTTTGTTTAGTAATGTGACTTAAAGTAACTGGTATGTATAAGAAACACCCTTTTAAAAATAGTCTGTTGACCTAAATAACACGACTAACAAAGGGGTAAATTTTGTACTGTATTAATTTTGTTGCTAGCAAGTCGGAGGCATTACGTCATGCTTACGTTTTTATTGTATTATCTTTATACATTTATTATTTCGTGACTGTGTTTGCATATCCAACATCTTAATACGACATTTAATTAAACCTACCCGTCGAAACTGATAAACATTAAAGTGGAGTGTTATCGGTGATGTTAACCTAAAATGTAGTTATATCTACTGTATTTACCAGTTACTAACAATGACCAGTGTACCCATGTGTAGGTTGAGTTATATTTCCTATATCTTCAGAATATTTTGACATCACAGTTTAGTGTTAAACAGAGTCAGTTTCTTGTGTGTGATTTTTTCCTCGATTGTAAAACATGAATTACGTTAGTGATTTACGGCAGATAGTTATTTGCTGGTTTTAGTGATGTAAACTTGTAACTTTAATATATTGCAAAATTTACTTTCTTACTGTAACTTACCTTAGTGTAGTGTTATGACTTTACCTTATTGTTATGATTTTACCTTTGTTATAACTTTACCTTTTTGTAGTGCTATATTTAGTTTTATATCTTTACCTTAGTTTTCTATGATCACTGGTGTCATTACCTTCTTCCAACTCGTTGTGTCAGGTTTAATAATCCGATGTTTCAATGTTGGCGACCTTTAGTAAGTATGTATATACAGTATACAGTAATCTGATGTTTCAGTGTTGGCGATCTTTAGTAGGTATGTATATACAGTAATTTGATGTTTTAGTGTTAGCGACCTCTTTGTGTTGCTACACACTAGATGTGATAAGAAAAATTGCTGATTGGTGTTAGATTTTTTCAATCATATTTTATTTTTTGTTAATTGTTAGTGAAAAAAGAAGTTGGCATCTAGTGATATTATGAACTGCGCAAAATGGCGACGCCTTTTTGATTCCGTCAAGGACAAGGTTCAGCGCAAGTTTGCTTATACTGTGAGGACTATACGTACAGCAGTCCGTGGTGAAACATGTTCACTGAATGCTTTCTCCGTTAGTTTTTAATATTATACAACTTTACTTGTGGTAGAGTGTCAGGTGTCATACATGGCTGGCTGTGGGGCCGCCTCCTATTGTACAGTATTGGGAATTCCTGTTGCAAATTATTTATTAAAAAAATCAACAACACAAATGCATAGGTTAGTAACTAACCTATGCCGTTGTTCCCCCACAGTACAGTTTATTCATATAATAGTTTAGCATTAAGCACTGATCAGTTTGGGTGGCTTAATTTTAAGGTGGAATAAGTTGCTAATCAGGTGATTCGAAAAATAAACCAACTTCCTATTTATATAGTGTCCATACATTTATATTAATAAGAAAGTAATAAAGAAATGCATATGTGTAGTGCGATGCGAGAAGGATGGCGTTAGTATAGAAGACATTATGGTTTAATTACACGGAGTGCACAACGGTTTTTGGCATACTCTACGGTGGTCTAGTCGTTGGTATAGCATATGGCGAAATACACCTACTAGCCAGCTTCTGTTTCTTCTGGCAACACTTGTTTAAATATTCCTTACGCTGATATTGAGATTTTCTTGGGATGTTGTTAACTTGAGCGTAAAGTAAGCATGTTATTAGCCTTAGATGAAGTTCAAGAAATTTTCTTTTGAAGACTTGAATACTGACCAGTTTACCATTACGACACAGTACCAAAGACTATATTATATAGTCTTTGACACAGTACAACACACTCCAGGGAAACTTAAATTTTAAAAACGTAAAGACTATTGTGTTCATTCATCAGTAATGGGATATCAGTCCCCCATACTAATATTGTGCTGTACTGCCAGTCAGTGAAACGTGATTTAAATTCTACTACCGTTGATTTTCAAATTCTAATTTATAAAATTTAGTTTTATAGCAGTTTTTTTATAGGTGGAATCAGTCGCATGAACTATATTTTTAATAAATATTTTAATCAGTTTTCACGAGGGAATATCTAAATATGATTACCGAGGTAGCTATTATCTACAGTATGGAGATAATGATGAAAATAAATTGTGTAAACTATTAATGACTGCGAACAATGTTTGCAATCAAACGAGTCGCCAGGTACTGAAGTGATATTAAATGAGTGTAAGGAATAGCATAGTTTATAGGATTACGTGTTATGGTAGTGTAAAGATTTTTTTTTTATACTCGACTGGATTTGTCTTATTTGCAACAGATTCGTCAGATGTAAGGTAAAAGCGATGAATATGTACATTGTAGTAACATTATTTAACGATTAATTTTATCCAGGTGTCGCTTTTGTTTATTTTTACCTAATTGGATAGTTTGCTTCCAGTTTCCGCCATGGGAGGGTGCGGGAGCCGGGAGGTGAAAGTTGGTCTTCAGTGAAGTGGGTGGTGTTGGCGGCTTGGCTCCTCATTTAACATCGCCGGGGAAGGTGTGTCCTGCGGTGTTCACTTGTTGCTTCATGTGAGGCTTTCCTTGCTCAATTCTTTCGGTGCAGTGGCGCTATTGGTGTTGAGGTGGTTGGTGCAAGTCCCGTGCATGTTACGGCAGGTGAGAAGGCGCTGCGCTTGCCACTGTCCACTGCGCCACACTTGCCGCCACGCGTCCTCACATGCGAGGCCCACACACCTGCCCAGTGCCGCTACCACCCGTCACATCCTCACTCAGAAAAGGTGTTCGTGCAGACCGTGATATAATAAGTATAAACTTTTCGCAGTTAGAACAGAATTACGTAAAGATATACATTACTTTGATAGAATAAGGAAATATTTGTACAGTATTTGTCTTCTACCTTCACTGTACATGTAAGTGCATGTTGGTGTGTGTCATCGTGAGTGGCTGACACGTCGTCGCCCACACCACTGCGTCACCCGCACCTCCTACAAGTGGCCCACATGCAGGGCGACTGGGCGTCGGGCGAGTGACGAGTCAGTCGGTGTTAGTGAATGTCCTCCACTCGCTGGGTCGTGCTCGTGCGCCTCCCTCAGCACTCGTAGCAGTAGTCGACCTCAAAGTGTATCTCATCCACAATTTGTTTTCTTTATTGTAAAGTAAATTTGTTTTTAGATGTTTACCCCCTTCATTTTGTTGTAAGATTTCGGGTATATGCATAACTCAGAAAAGACTACAGTACTAAGGCTGAGAAAACATGGCGTGTACTATACTTTGAGTACTATGACATCAGTGTCTGTGATAACACATGTGTGAATACGTTTATATGTCAATTATGATGGTGAAGGCAGTTCGTGGTCGTGTGTACCAGCAGCAGGTGACGACAATGGGCATTCATAGACTCGTGATAAGGTGTGATATAACTACACTCACCAGCGTGGTCACATTTGAAACGTGATGGTTTGTGACGCACGCAAGTACACAAACGCTTGGATGATTACATATTAGAGGCGTAATAGTTCATATTAGAGGCGTAATAGTTCGAAACAGCCACATGTGTAATTGTAACTGGTTTGTGTTAGAGCCACAAGTGACGATGATTTGTATTACACCCACGTGTGACGCATAATGGTGTGTTTTACAGCCACACAAAATGGTGTGTTCTACGGCCACACATCAAACATAACTGGAAGCGTCTTTTCGGCGCCGTGCTAAATGGTCTTAATCGTCATTACACCTCGCTTACGACCATCTAGCACGGGTGTTGCACTGACCTGTGACTTCAGAAGCAGCCTCGACGAGTCAGCAAGGTGCTCCTCCACTCCACCGTCACTACCTTCTCCACTACGGAAAATTCTACTCCAGGAAACCCTTCAAGTAACTCAGTGTGCCTTTTTCATGAGTAGCTATTTTTGCTCTTTTTATACAAATATTAAGTTTAAGCCGAATATGTTATTGTCGGTTGCTAAATAGGGTGGTGTACTGTTAAGGAAAATGTGTTGGTTATATACAGTGATATACCCAATATTATACTTATGCTTGTGGATGGTGTCTTGCCTCTAGTTGGAGTATATATTTTAAGATATTGGAATATGTAAGACAGGTCTCAGTGTGTATGTGTCAGTAGCTGGGATGGTAGTAAATAACCCGCCAAGGAAAAAAAAAGGTTTCTTAAATTTTCAATTATGTAGCGTAAACATTAACTTGTACTTGTTATGGTTGTGTAATATGACAAATTGCAGATTTTAAAAACAAAGTATTTTTTATTTCTGTTTGATGAGAAAATCCATCGATATGTTTGATTATTGAAAGTTATACCATTGTTATCGTAGGCACCTCGTCGAAGGTTAGGGTCATTAATTGGAGCTCTAAATTTGCAAGGTAACGCTGTAGGAGCGACGTTTCATTTGTAGTTTTACCTTCGCTGTAGTAAGAGGGAGTCATATTGATGTTCACTTTTCCATCCAAACGAGCATCTGCATTTGACTCTCATCTGTTTTTATCATCAGGATTACGCAAAAAAGTATTCAGCGTAGATTAATGAATTTTAAGAAGTTTCTTTTAATATGCAGTAACAAGATAAGATGAATGCAGACGACGCAGCAGCTATCCTTGATACTCTTATTAAAAAGGGAAAAAAACATAAATAAAATAAAAAAGATTGTAGACTTGTAAGTGGCTGGCGAGGACTGAAAGTGTTTATTATAGACTGGAGCTTCGTGTCATTAAAATTAATATAGTGTTAGCCGTGTTTTGACTCTGGAATCTTGCTCGAAATCATTCGGAATTAACGATCACGATCGCCCAGTTAAATTGTTCCAAAAACGTGCTAGAATTTCTGGAAAATTGCTCGAAACAACTTTCAGTCCAGGAATTCCTCATAAAAGCGCTCGTATGACAGCGCCATAAAATCAGTCTTGGTGGTGGACAGATATTTGTATCAGTTAAATTTCATCGTCTTGTGTTGAGGTTGGGAGATGTTGATGTTATAATGTATTACTGCACTTCAAGAACAACTTAAGTTGTATTCTAGATTAGTAAGTAATCAAATACACATTCCGTGGTTCAAGAAACGTTAAGGTTGTTAAATTTTAGATAAGCACCATAACGTTCGGTATTTCCTTCCCGTGGTGACGTCAACACAAGCTGACGAACAAAGCAGGGAAAAGTTTTGTAGTGAACTTTGTTACAGCTGATGTATTGTGTAAGGTATTCTACTTAAACGCACGAGTCATCAACAGTTTAAAACGAAGAGAGATGCATGTCCTTGGTTTATTATAACGTGATGTTGATGTTACGACTTACGAGTATAATGTATTAATACGCATCAATAACTGAGGTATTTTAAACACGTTCTAGTTCACTAGCCATCAGGAATTGAAAGTGATGGGCCTTCATCTTTCTGGTTAAGAATGAATGAGCTGTGGAAATTTGTTCGGTTGCTGGTTAGGCAGTTTTTTTAGCCCAACACCAGCAGGAGTTAATAGAATATGATGAAAGTTTGTGGAAACGTTAAATGCACTCTATTAAATAGGTAAATGGAACGAGAATCAATTCAGTATCATTATGTATGTTTTAAAAGGTCTTTCTGACAAGTTAGGGTTTGGTAAGTTACATTAGGTTAGATCAAGTTCTAATAGGTTCTATGCATACTCATTTCCTTTTATCTCTTTAATAGATTGTTAATAATGTTTTCACAGTTTCGTCGGACTGTATCATCTTTTGATGTTATTGTAAAAAAAATAATAAAAAATACCTAACCGATAACCGGACAAATGTTATAAAGTATGGCTGTGTACAGAGTTCAACAGTACAGGTTAGTTAACATATGTCATCCGATTCATATTACGCTCCAGTCAATAAAACATGTAGCTATGATCTTTCTTAAGTTACCCACAAAAAGTGACGTATTTTCTCTGGTAAGGAGACACCATCCATTTTCTTTAGTATTACCTGAAGGGCCAGCTTGATAATTATGTAATGTATGTAAATTGAAAGTACGATGTAACCTGTATGAGTCGTCCTGAGTTAGATATACCTACTGTGAGCTGAAGCATTCAATTTGTATGGAGTAGATATTGAAGGCTTCATTTACCTACAGTATACTTGTACGGTAGTGTAAATAGTGTTAAGATGATGTGTTTTGAGGGCCAAGTAAACAGCTGATCTTTGTGTGGCTTCTCGTGAAGCTATGAGATAACCATTCAAAACTGAAGTAGTATTTCCTTGATTTACAGACCTCAGAGAATCCGATGAGTTTATTGAAATTATTGTCGTTTTTGTATTTTCGAAACTCCTAAATCTTGTTTGAAGAACATGTCGAATGTAGAAAACTTGAAGTGTAACTTTAGGCGGCGGCACACTGGACACTTTCCTCCAAACATGTTGCCCGTTTTTGCTGGCCGTTGACCTAAACATTCAGCAAGCAGCAGGATTTCTGCTGTTTCTAGAAATGGACTACGGTTTGGCCAAAGACTATAAGAAGGAAGACAGGAAAACAAGGCGAAAACCGCGGGCTCAACAGATGGCGTTGATCGGCGCTCAGAGGCTCACGTTTTTTCGGTAAAGATAGACGCTTTCTCGTCTTTCTTATTATAGTCTTTGGGTTTGGCGGGATCTTTACTGGCTGGATTAATGCTCAAATGAGCTTCATATCATTTCAAATAAAATTTGGAATAAATCATGAATCAATAAAAGTTTAAAATATGACACAAACGGTGACATATTTCTATTTATTCGTCACTTTAAAACTTCATTATTATTAGTAGTATTATTAAATCATTATTCAGGGTCTAATTTGACCAGCCAGCTGCCACCACTTTTGAAGAAACTTCACGACCACCCATTTGTCTTTTCTTTAGCTTTTGCAGATGCCTCACTTGCTTAAGCAATTGAAGAACTATAGCACATTCCTGCAAGACCTCAACTACATAGTGCGTTTTTCCCAGCTGAGAAGAGATCCCCCCCCCCTTAAGAGTTACAGCTGATTGGTTGTTGTAAGTCGGTCCGATTTCGTCCTGAGGTAATGATGTATTTCTAAATGAGTTTACAGTATTCATAATCGTTGGGATGACTGTTTCTGACGAGAAAGATATTTTGCTAAATTATATAAGGATACATACATTCATTATTTTAATCATGAGCACGTAGGAAGTTTATCAGAAATCTTATACATGAGTTAATTGTTAAACACAGGTAGCAAATTTACGCTTTCGGAGGACTCATTTAATATATCTTTATTTTTACCCACAATAAAGCATACTAAGACAAATTACGTATCCGTAATACTAAATTACTGCTGATGCGAGAGTAGACAGCATATTGTAGCGTCTGCTAGAAATCATATGCAATCATATTTCCCGCCTCTGCTGACGGCTGTTCGCTCGAACGGCAAAGTCTGTCACACTCATCCACCAACTTTCAGGGGCCGTGTAATATTTGAATGTGATTCTGTTCTTTTAAAATGCCATTTTTTGCATAATGCATTATTATTTATACGTAATTTATCGTAGTATGCCTCAGTATGGGTAAAAATAAGTATATATTAAATGAGTCCTCCGAAATCGTAAATTTGCTACCAGTGTTTAACAGTTAATTCATGTATAAGATTTCTGATAAACTTCCTACGTGCTCATGTTTGAAATAATGAATGTATGTATCTTTATATAATTTAGCGAAGGAAAGTGCCCAGTGTGTCGCCGCCTTTATACTCTTGGGAAGAACGGATGTTGTGGTCTGGAGCTCCAGGCTGCTCTGCCCAGAATGGGACTGCCTACCTGGGAACTTGACATCAATTTAAACTTTGCATTGCAAAGCTCGAACATTGATTAAATTGGGGTCTGCCCATATCGTCACCAACCTGCTTCGTCACCACTATTTTTAACCAGTCTCGTAACCACTGCTTTACCCCTTTCATCACCCCCGTTCATTCACATCATTATATACACTAAAATAACTGCTGCTTGGGATTATAAAAAATAAAAAAACACTTGAGACAATTTTTTAAAGACGGAAAAAAATAATCGCCTGCAATCATCTCATGCGCGGTGTCTTATGCGCTGGTGCCAAATTACCATTTCTGTATTTTGTTTATTTACCAATGTTTTAATAATTATCTTTTAAATAATTAATATTCATGTATAATAATAACAAAATACTTCTCGAGCCATCTGTATACATGTGTAATTTCTATTCGTGTAAAATAATAACTTACAATTTGTCATTAATACCAGTGACTGTTAATGGTGAAACGGATTTGATAGTGGTGACGAAATGGGATGTATCCATTAAATTGTAACTTAATCTTAAAAAGTCGAAATAAGCTCATAGGCTAATTTTCACAGCCCGAGGTGCGAGTTAAATTAAGGTGACCACCAGAAGTTGTTTGTTGATTTTATTGATTTTTGCTATACCTATTGTGTTGTTGATTTTAAGGATATTAAAAGAAACAACAACTTTCTTTTATGATTTTAAGTACTGTATTATATTTGATTTTTTTTATTTTCTCTATCCCGTTTCACAATTCTCCTTCCGGCGCCATTTTTTGTTGTTTATCTCACTGAATCCCTTTTCAAGAGACGTTTCCTAAATGATGGTGAACGCTTCCACGTATTCCTCCTCGCCATTGCTGATTTATATCAACCTTAATATTAAGGTAAGTTGTTTAACACATAAATTAACACGATCATGCAAAGAACCTGATCTAAAATACCCTGCCTGGATCACCTGAAGAATTGTCACCCCAGAGTCCGGCAGGATGACAATTCTTCATTGGGATATCCTGGGGCGACGATTCTTCAGGTGGCAACACCTGGGGTGACAATTCTTCAGGTGGGGTCAGGACCCTCCACGGTTGTTAATCTTCGGATTAGTGGAGT